GTTTTTCTTTATTTTATATTTTATATAATCAAAACCAAATATTTCTTTACTATACTCGAATTTTTAAAATTAATATATTTTATTTTATTTAATTATTTTTTATTTTTATTTTATTTATTTATATATTTATTGAATTTCATTTATTTATTTTTTTATTGTTTTTTTCATATCACTTTTAACTTTGTGTATCATTAAATTTCAATGAAACTGTAAAAACACGTTAAGAGAGATGAATTAACAATCATATCAAAGAAGTGAGTGTAAACAATATCATTAAATATTTCAACGCTGAAAAGCAAATAACAGTAATACCCATAAGAAATCTGCTTAGCTGGCGCACCCTGTTTATTTGCTTTAGACTGGAGACTGCGCTGCTCGTAGGCATTGTTTAGCGCATGTGACCGAAAATAAAAAAATACAAGAAATTAATCAAAGGAAAATTATAAAACAAAGGCAATGAGGACGACTCCGAGGACAAGTCAAGAGCCGGCAACGGCAACGGCAACGGCGACTGCGACGGGCATTGCATACTAAGAGGCGCTGCAGCAGACAGACGGGCGCACATATGCAAATGTGTGCAATGTGTGTGTGTGCGTGTGTGTGTGTATTACTATACAGTACAGAGTGCAGACGCAGTTGAGACAGAGCAGTGACACACACGCGAATCTGGAATGCGTTGACAAAGCTGTTTGCGCTGCAACTGGAGCGCAAGCATATCAAATGCGAGTGTGCATATGTGTGTGTGTGTGTGTGTGCATGTGAGTGCATGTGTGCATGCGTATTTGTGCTTTTATCAGACTTGTTTTGATAGTTGACTCGATTCTAAGCCTATTAAGGCGCCCGAGTCGCTCAACAATTCAGCGGCTTAGCACCGAGCGGGTTTCCAAGCAGCCCCGGCACATGATAGCCAGCAACAAAGTTAAGCTCTGGCCAGGCATTAGCTTTTCTCTGCCCATCTCTCACTCTCTCTCTCTCTCTCCATCTCTCTTTCTTTCAGCCTGCAACCCGAGTGCCCTGTCCCGCCCTACCCTGCAGCTGCAGCTGCTGCTGTTAATAATTAAGGCTGCAGCGCGCTCGTTAGGCACATCCATCCAATGGAACTCTCCCACACTCCTTACCGTTATCTATGCTACTATCGTCCTCTCTGTCTCTCTCTCCTACACGCTCCATCTATTTGGCTCTTTTTGTCTCGGCTCTCTCTCTGCCCGTCGCGCCGGCAATTTTCTCAAGAAGCCGCACTTAAATGGCTTCCTGTGCGGGTGCAAACAAAAGCTGACTGCCAGCCAGTCACACACATGTGTCGACCCAAGTATCTCTGAATGTGTGGGAGCATGTGTGTGTGTGTGTGTATTTGTCTCCGACAGCAACAAAAAAATATGGCAGCAGCAACAAAAATCTCTGACTGACTCTGGCTGCAAGTCGAGTGGCGTCGCCTGGTGGTTGATTTTGTTGTTGTTGTTGTTGTTGTTGCTGTTGTTGTTTTTGTTATTTTCTCTGCCGCTGCAAATGGAAATACTGCAACAAAAAAAGAGTTGCAATTTAGTCCTGTTATTATTATTGCTGTTGTTGTTGCCGGTGCTGCTGCTACTGCTGCTGCTGCTGCTGCTGAGCGCAACACATGCGCCATTATGCAATTGATTTTCTTGCTTTTTTTTGCAGCACTCAAGCTACGTTTTTTGCATTGTTGTAGGCGAAGCTGCTTAAAGCACTTTTTCAGCTTTTCTTCTTCATTTTTTTGCGGGATTATGGAGTTCAGCTGGGTGGCATTGGGGGTCATTCAACCCAGGTGGCAGGCGACTAACCAATTTGCACGGCAGGCCAGTTACGCCGTGGGCTCAGGTGTGTCTAATTAGGCGCCGCAACTAAAGCAAAGCCACTGAAAGCCCAGCAAAGCCAGCGAGGTGTCTAAAGTGACGCTTCATGTGGAAAATGGCTAAAGCAAACTGCACGTCCCTTCGTCTGCCTACGCGAAAAGATGCAACACACCCACACACACACACACACACACACAGATGAACACATGCAACTGCAAACTGCAACTGCATTTCTATGGCGACCCCATCACGTGCGCTATCTCATTCGGCGTTGCATGCAACGCGACGCGACGTAACTCGACTTTTAACCCTGAATGCACATTATGAATGCAACGTTGGCGTGGCACAGACAACCCACAGACTAACCCACACCACGGCAGTTGCGGCACGCCCACAGTCACGCCTGCGGGCTCACACTGAGCCCAGTCAAGCTGGCTGCAGTCAAGGCGCATTGCGTATACGCAGCATTGGCCACTTGCATTATTAAGCGCTACTCCAACGCTCTGATAAGCTGTCGCGAGTGCGAATCTCTGCGTGTGTCTGTGTGGGTACGTGTGTGTGTGTCTGTGTGCGTGTGTAAGCCTCTTTCACTTGCCTTGCATTTTCATTGTGAATGTCAAGTGCCGGCAGTTGCCTTGCGCTTTGTTTTCAGCCCGAGCAACGCAGCACGTGCGTAGCTCCACCCGCAGCGTCGCATCGGCATCGACTTCTGCCTCGGTAAGTGGCATTCAAATGCCGTGTCTTTGATTTGACATTAACATATTGCGCAACGTCTGGCCCCTTTGTCAGCCAGTCAATTGACTGCGCTCGAAAGTTTTCATGAGCCTCAGACCACTGACTGCGATCTCTTGAGCAGAAGTACCAGAAAGTCTGACCACTACCGGCTATGAAGTCGTACTCAAATACATTGTGAATTGAATGTTATATATGGTCACAATTTCACTTATCTCTTTCCCAATAATTGTCATGCATAATAATCATATAGATTTTGATCGTAGTATATAAGCATTTTATTTGTATGCTGAAAAAAGCTTGGAGCTCGGACTTTTTATTGAACCAGTTTGAGAACATCATTTGCGTTAGCTTGCACCTTCAACAGAGCCAAGCCTCTTCGATTTTTCAATCTACAATCCCAAGAATATCTATTCGTTGACGATCTTGACCAAACCAAGGCAAGCAAAATAAACATAATATCTTTTCGTGACTCACGTAAGTTAACCTCTTGGCACTTTTACATTGATATTCATTGTGTGTTAAATATTTAGCAAAGCCATTCAAAGGCCGTTGGAAACCAGTTCTGTTCTAACATCGAACCGACAAATATGAATCTGAGTCTTTACACATTCCCATAAGGAAATAAAATAATGGAGGGAAAAACACATTCTTTGCGTGCAGTCACTCAAAAATTAAATTCATTAATTGATTGATTGTCAATACCCTTAATAAATAAACAAATAAACAACAATTAGCAAATATTTGTTTCCGAAAAAAAAAAACAAGCTATTAAATATATTTAATTCCGAAATTGATTTATTTCGATAATATATTATTTATATATATTTCTTTTAATTAGTTTTAACCAATTTTTTTTTTTTTTTTAATTATATTTGATTTGGAAAAAATGTATAAATAAACATTTGCTGTAAATTTAAATTTATTTATTCAAAATGCGAATTTTCAATAGATTTTTTGTACCCTTGATATTTCGTTAATATATTATATTTCCAAAATATTTCTGCTTCCCAGGTCGAATATCGTTTTACAAGTTTGTCAACAAATGAGCTGAGACGGTCGCAGTTTAATCATAAATATATTGTTCAATTATAGCCTTACTGCCAACTTTGACAACTAACCTCTAATAGTTAACATTAACTCAATTAGCGCCCAAGGTATTTTATCAAATTTAAGCTCTTAAAATAAAATATGAACTCTCATTATGTTGGCTAAGATCATTTTTGTGGATTCACAATGAAATGATCAAAATGATTCGTCATGAAGAGAGTTAAGATATATATGCTAATAATTAACACATCTGCAGATCGCATCACTTCCTTCATATATATTTCTTATATTTGTCTTATATACGAAATTCGATTTTGATCAAAAGAGAAGAGAAAACAAAACTAATTTGTCAGCTTCAAAGCAGAGAATCGAGTCGAGTTCAGCATTTTAAAATAATAAATTTAAGCTTAACTCGACTCTTGGCTATATGGAATACATACATATATATCAACCAGGTCTGCCCACTGGATTGAAACCGAATTAAACTTTATTGTCTACCAATTTACACAGTTTCAACGGATGAAGCCAAAACAGAAACAACAAATCCCATATGAAATTGATGCAAATTTATTTATAAATCCATAACAACAACAACGTTAATAAATACTGCTATGAAAACCAAATTATTGAACCCGACGGAACCGCACTTTTACTTTTGACGAGTTCAACATGATCTTCATAAACACACAGAGTCAATACGCAGAGATCTACGATAATGTGGCATGGCTGAGTTGGTAAATTAAAAGTGGTTAAGTGCGGAAAGACAATGAAAAATAACATAAATCACAAAACTTGAAAAAAAAAGTGAGGGAGGTGCAGGCAAACGAACAATTAATACTCTGTCCAAGAGATTTGGGTTAGAGTTGGAGTATTGGAAAATGCATATGAGTGGGATAAGTAGGAGATATTGAAATAAAGTTGAGAGAAGAGAAGATAATTATAACAATTAAACAACACAAAGGAAGAAAAAGAGAGAGAGAGAGAGAGAGAGAGAGAGAAATATCACTGATAATAATATATAAAATAATGTATCTTGGTAATGACAAATTTGATTCAGATCTTCTTCATTCGATCACTTCATAATCCAATCCTAAGTTGCTGTGAGCTGAATGTGATTTGCTGCATGCAAACTATATAGATCAATCAACTAAAAAAGCAAACAAACAGCTGAACTTATAAATCTACCTGACATTCAGATACTCATTAATCGATAGTTAGAGCGGAAAAGATTTTCACGGCCCCAGCGGAATTATTTCTGGGCATGTGCCAACGTAAAAGTTGGCTCCTTAACGATGACAAAAGCGAGACCCAAGTGATAGCCAAATTATTCCACAAGCAAACGAACGCTGAAGTGGCGAGCGACGATAACATATACAGGCAGATAAATATCTCCACAATCATATATATATATAGGGGAAGACAGAGAAAGAGATAGCCAGCGAGGGAGAAGGCAAAATTATGAAATTTAAATGTTACAGCGAATCCAGAGGCAAGCGATGCCACAATTACAACTCAATAATAGGCAAAACGAGTTTTGCTGCCGCTGACGCAGCTCTCGTTTGGCTCTTCTTCTGAAGAAGTCTAACACTGTGATCTGCACGGCAACTGTCTCAATCATTTGCCAGACGGCGACGCGTGCACAACACGAAACACAGACAGTTCCACAATTTCCGAGCTGACACTTCGATGGCCAACCTGATGCTGCTCGTCGTGACGGTAAGCGGCGACGTGCGGCCTAATGAGCCAACCAAGCCTCATTAATATTAATGTGTAAATGTTTTGAAAAATTGTATTAGTTGGCGCTACTGAGCTGCGCCGAGTCACAGATCCCCTACAACTATCAGCACCCGAAGATACCCTTCCGCCCGCCTGCAGCGAGCCCAAACCCGGCGACCAAGTATGTGGTGCAAGCCCTTGGACGCACCTATGAGCTGCAATCGCAGAAGTCGCCAGCGGTCTACACGGCACATCAAACGTACACGGTGCCCAATCGTCAGCTGCAGCAACAGCAGCAACTGCAACAGCAGCGACAGTTGCAACAGCAGCAGCAGCTGCAACAGCAGCGTCAACTGCAGTACCAGCAACAGCAACGACAGCAGCAACAGCAGCAACTGCAACAGCAACAGCAGCGACAGTTGCAACAGCAGCAGCAGCTGCAACAGCAGCGTCAACTGCAGTACCAGCAACAGCAACGACAGCAGCAACAGCAGCAACTGCAACAGCAACAGCAGCGACAGTTGCAACAGCAGCAGCAGCTGCAACAGCAGCGTCAACTGCAGTACCAGCAACAGCAGCAACAGCAACGACAGCAGCAACAGCAGCAGCAGCAGCAGCATAGCAATCCTTTGCTGGTTAATCGCCAGCCCCAGTTTTTGGCTCTCTCACCACCGCGGCCTGCCACAGTCCAGGAAATCGACTACAATTACCTCCCGCCTCAGCCTCAGCCGCAATCGCAGCCGCAGCAACCGTTAGTTGCCAGTTACTACAGACAGCCGCAACCGGTGACAGTGACCAGAGCTCAGGTGCAGCCAGTGGTCACTTATGTGCCACCGCCGCCACCAGCACAGCCGGAGCAGTCCGACAGCAATCCACTGCCCTATGCCGTTGTCACACTGCCCAATGGCCAGCAAGTGCAGGACGGCGGTCATGGCAATGGCCCAGTGCAGGCCGTGGTTGAGCAGCAGGCGGCACCAAACCGCGCTGGCGACTATAGCGGTCAGTCGCAGAGCGCCATGCTGGATGCCCACGAATACAAGCAGTCGGTGGCAGGTGAGTCGCGCGGCTATAAGCGCATCGTGACCAACTGCGAGCCCAACGGACAGTGCCAGCAGCTGGAGCTGGAGCCCGGTCAGATCGATGCCAACCACTTTGAAGTGCTGAAGAAGGCTCGAGCCAAGACGGTGAGCGTTAAGGATAACTCCCAGGACAACCAGCTGGAGCAGGGTGCAGAGGCGAACGCCTATGGCCAGCGGACACCGCACGACAGACGCGCATATCAGCACTTGCATGAACAGCTGGATGTGTATCCCTATAACTAAATACATCTAAAAAGTCTAAGGTACATTTAAGAGGAATATTCTATATTATATATTTTGTTGACATTTTGTTTAACCGTTCTATTATTTTCTATTATTATTAAAATCCTCTTATCCTCAATATTTTATTTGAACTTATTTTCTTAAGGTCAGCTGTTGATTTCAATTAAATATTACACTCAAAAGACACCCGTGTGTAGGAGTAAAAAAACATACATGTATTTGTGACAAACATATAATATTTTTCTCAGTTTTTATAGTATATAATAATGCTTATTGAAGCCATACTCCAGTAACCCCCTTTGTGTGCTTATTGGCCACTTATTCTGACTTTTAAGCCACATATAAGCAAGGTAAGTAAGTAAGAGTATAATATCAATAAAGTGCAAAAACTATTCCTAATTTACCCATGTGGAATAGCGCTATGTGAATCTGCGCGTTATCGTGCTGACTAGCTTATGGGTAGCTACATGATGGTCTAGGAACTCTCACAGTAGTTGAGCTCATTGGGCCAGACAGCTTTAGAAACGTGGATAGACACAGCTGCAGATAGCAACAAAAACTGAGAGCACATCCAAATCAGCTCTCATCTCAACACAGTGCAACTGAAAATGTTGCAAGCTCAGTAACTACTCAAACTCAGTGCGAACAAATTTAATTATTATAATAAAATTTATTTTTTTACTAGAGTGCCTCTTATGAATAAATGAAAGTTAAGAGTTAAACAAAAAGAAAAAAAAAAGAAAATAAATAAGTAAATGAATACAAACTACAATTTAAGCAGATATATGATCTATATATACTAGCCTTCTGGCGACCCAAAATTGTAAGGAAATGAACGACTACAACAGACGGACTGACATTTCACAAAACCAATATACCCCTTACGCTTCATAAATGTGTATTTAATAATTTTTTACATGGGCTTTTTTGTATATTTATTTTAAGCGCTGAATCTGTACAATGCAAGTTTAATAAAAAAAAAAAAAAATAAAAATAAAAAAAAACAAATAAATAAAGTTTAAGACGCGCTGGAGATTTTCTACTTTCAAAAGTTCAAATATAATCAATTCAAATGATTTTCTTGTCAAGCCTAAAAGTATGCAATATTTTTTAATTAAGTCATAGAAAAAAAAATTTTTTTTTTTCATTGGTTCTTTATATGCTGATTGTAAAGCCTCAGACAAACATTTGAAAACTAAAATCTAAAAGCGCGTTTCATATTTACTGTGCTGGTCAATAAAACATAAAAAGTAATTGAAATGCCAGCAAATTGAAAGAAATGGAGCTTTATACACATATGTGTATCAATCTAGTAGCGATTCGTTTTGGCTTTCATAAATACGAGCGTTTTATACACTTACACAGAACAGTTTCAATTACTAAAATGCAAACTAGAAACTCACATTAGATTTCCTGCTGGAGTTTAATAGTTGACTCGGCCACTCAATCGTGCTCAGCATCAAGCAACAGCCATAAAAGGCAATTTGAAATAGATTTTGGCCACAGAGAATTCTTCATTTCGCCTTAATTGGGAAATATTTGATATTAAATTACTGTAAAACCCAAACAAATCGAAACCTGCTCCAAAGACAGCCCGAGCTCTTCTTGTTGAGTCATTTGTTTAGCATTCGAGTGGGACATACCAAGAAATAGCTTCGTTTCTAGTTTTTTTTTTTTTTTTTTCGTACTTGTTGTTATTTTATTTTATCTCTTAGTTAGCTACCAAATGGAAACACGTTTCTGGCCCCGACGTCACAGTGTGCGTGTGTTTGTGTGTGCTTGAAAGACAACAGCAAACAGCCAACAGCCAACAGCTGCTAGACGATTCATCAAGTCCAAGTCCAGCGGAAGTGTCACTAGCTGTGCAGCGTCGAGGCGCCACAAGAGGTGCATAAGTAAACAAGGTGTCAACAGGCACGTTTATGATGAAGCTTCTGTCCGGTCGCCACTCTCCAAGGGCCGGATGCCCAGGCACTCCAGCTAGCAGAGTGAATGCTGTGCAAGAGATCGCAACGACTTGGCAGAAAACTGCAAAAGAAAAGAGTAGAAAAATCTTCCCCATAATTAAATTCAAACGACGCGCCAAATGCTAATGACTTGCGCAATTAAACAAATTAGGCAACTAATAATTATTTGCGACAGACAAATTTGACAACATCAAAATAAAAATACAAAATAATAATAAGAGGAGAGGTAAGGCATTAGGCAAAGTTATTGCGACAGCCGCAAAAGCTTTCCAAAAATACAAAACCGCATTCCAGAGACATTTTTCGAAATGCAATATACAAATAAATAAATAATTTATTCAGTGCTTAAACAGAAATAAACAATAAACAAAAACAAATACGGGAATAGCTAGAAAGTTGGACAAACATTTAGTAGTCGCTATAGTACTTCTTGCTATCGCCCGGATTGACGCTATAGAGATCGTAATCGAACTGATCCCACTCAGCATAGCCCTCGCCCTTCGGCTTTGTGTTGCCCTTCTTCAGCTTGTGCAGAGCCTTCTTCTCCCGGGTGATGTCGACTGGATGCAGCTTCTGGCGTACGCGCTGCTCCTCGGCAGTGATGGGCCTTGGCGGACGCACGGGCGTGCTGCTGGCCAGGAACTGTGACTCATCCATGCCCAGGTCGGCGCCCGGACTCATCTCGGCGTCGTAGAATGCGGCAAAGTTCTGCAGCTGCATCGACTCTGCTGGATGGTGATCGTAGTAATCGGGCATTATCAAATTGTAGTTGCCCGTTAGGGCCATGGGCGGCTGGGGCCTGGCAGCGTAGGCCAGGATGGTCTCGCTGCCGGCGGTGCTAAGGTCAAAGTTCTTCCTGTTTGAGGTTTTACTGTAGCGTGGCCGGGCTTGACTTGTGGCCAGCATCAGAATCAGACAGCAGCTAAGCAACTAAGGTTGCACAAGATATATTTATATTAGTATAGATCGTATATAGTTGAGGTACTGCGAATGCTTACCATATTCCGAAAACACATTTCTGTTTAATTTTGCGAACTGATAAAATTGATGTGAATGAAATCCACTTTCTAATTATGTTATTTTTATTCTTTTTATGAATAATATTTATAAACAAACGGAAATTTCTTTTTGATTCAATTCAAGTCGATTCGATGCGCGCTACGTTTTAATCGAGCTCTTAAACACGTCTAATGTTCTGAAGCTGGGTGTTTTTATATTTAAGCAGCGCATCCAGTTCAAGTGGGAAAAAACATTTCACTGCTGCTTCTTTTGTTTCTGTTTCTTTCTGCTACACTGTACAGAAAGAGCAAAGGGGTATATTGGTTGAGTGCACGATAAGGTAATATACCTTGAATATATATAAGTGTATATGAAATATATCATAGTATGAAGTAGATTTACAATGCGAATATTTTCTATAGATAAATGGAATACAACTCAAATGATATCGAACTACATTTAACTATAGACATAAATAGGAATATAGCAAAAATAATCAAATATCTATAAACTTATTATATATGTATATTTAGATGGGAAGACATATTGAAATATGGTTTAGAAGTCTAAATTTCCTTTAGTGAAACAGCGAAGTTAGAGTACAATTTATCAAATATATTCATATTTTAATTCATGAATCTATAAAAATATCTATAATATATTATCAATATTTAACAGAATGAGAGATTGCTCTTAAAATATATTTAAATATTTTTATTTCTTCTTTTACTTTAATCTATATACAGTGTATTCAGCAGTCGTTAGCATGCCATTCAAATGTTCTTAATCATTGTGTTGTTTGTTTTGGGTAAATCCGGTTCGCAAGCTCCGATTTCAAACTGTGCGACGACCACTTCAGCTGCTGCTGCTGCTGCTGCTGCTGCTGCCTTTGACTGACAATTGGTGTGACTGACACACGCAGCAGACGTCCGGGCAGGTCAGGCAGCAGCTGAATGGATGAACGGATGATTCCGGCGACAAGTCGCGTCATGCATCATGTTGCATGTCAAGCTCACAAAAAAACAACAACAACAACAACAAATCGAGGCATTTGCGACTGTGCAGCTTATTGTGGCACACATTTGTGAGTGCGTCTGATTCATTTGAATTTGATTGTGTTTTACAAGCAGAACAACAACAACAACAACAAAAACACCTTTGTTCAACTGTCTTCAATGAGTTTATTGGCTAATTAATACGCACAAATTAAATGTTAATAAATGAAATTATTAATTACACACGCTTTGTACCACTGAACTTTAATGCAGTTTAAGCACTTGATTCACACACACATGCATACATACATACACACACACACATACATTCACAGGCATGATTGAAAATTGGCATATCGATCAAAAGGTTTTATAATGTGACATTTTAATATTGATATTTAATTACAAATTTTTTCGCTTGCTGTGCATTGCCTTCAGACTAATTGTTGCTTGTATATATATGTATATATATACGTAAAGTAAGGTATACATATATATACAGGCATAAAGACTAAATAAGAAAAGAACTAGCTCAGATTCAAAAATTGTTTGCCACCATAAAATTGTGTTTGAAGATAAGAAAACTGATTTCAATTAAATGATAGGAATTGGAGTTGGGATGGGTGATAGAGAGAACTTTCACAAAGCTATTTATTTTAGAAATGAAAGAAGCAATTAAATAAGAATCAAGCAAAAAGCAAACACACTTTGAAAAACGAAAAAATAAAAACCAAAACAAAAACTACAAAAGAATGCAGAAGCATTCAGCTTTTTATCAACTTATTCTAAAGGTAAAAAAAAAAAAAAAATAAATAAAAAAAAAATTTGCCTAAAAACTATGAGAAATGCGAAAAAAAAACATGTCAAACTTAAATTTATAAACATAATATAAAGCTAGATGAATTTAGAGAGAAAAAAATTAAATTAATTCAATAGAAAGATTAAATTTTTTTTTATAAAGATAAATTGCTTCTGGGCCTTACGAAGAGCAAAGAATTTATATTAACTCGAATGCATTAATAAATTTATAGATATATAGGCCCATTTAGAATGTCTGGCCAGACTACTCAAATAATCTCTAAAAAATGATTAAGTCTTTGTAAACACATTCTTGCCTTCCGTGTAGAATGCGACAATAAATAAATGTAAATAAATAAATTACCTTCACTTGACTGTCAATCAAAGCCGCTTTCCATTAATTAATGTGCGTTGCGTGTATGTGGGCTGCCCTCTCTCTCTCACTCTCTCTCTCTCCCACTCCTTGTACTTTGGAAAAACCTCAAGCGAACGGCTCCTGCTGTGATGGCTTTATTGGCACTCGGACTGCTCACGAATATCATGAATTCCGTAAATAATTCCAGCGGCAAACGCAGCAAACTCTGAGGCTTATTTTGCACTTACATTATTCACGTATTTGTTTCATTTTAGTAATTTCTTTTTAATCGCAATTGACGTTGTATGTAAATTTATTCTCTTCTTCTTTTTTTTTTTTTGTTTTGTTTTCTGTCGTTTGAGATCAAAGACATGTTTTTGGAAGCTGAGCAGCCGCGAGTAAAAAAAAAAAATGTAAAAATATTTTGTTGGGAATTTACGCCCGACAGCCGAACAGAAAAATAAGACAACAACAACAACAATGCAGAAAAACAAACAAGTATTTGCGCTTTCAATTCTTCTTCTTTCTGTTTATTTTATTTTAATTTTTTTCATTTAGCAATATTAAAATTTCAATTATTTGAAGAGAATTTGAACATTTGATGGCGGACCCCATAGACGTCTGGCTAGAACTATTTGCTCAGCTCAACTCGGCTCGGCTCGGCTGCGTGCAATGCCAAAGCCTCAAAGCAACGTGCCTCAAATCTCGACCACAACATTACATCAACTTGCCAGACGCATCAACGCCCAGCTGCAAGTTGCCCTGCGGTGCGCCTCGGTCTGCACCTAAAGCTCACCCAAAACCTCAATACAAACCTCGTGTCAGAGAGGGAGATTGAGACTCCAAAAGAGAGAGAGTGTCTGTGTGTGTGTGTGTGTCCGTCTACACGCACATCATTATCCATTCAATGACGGTGGCCAGAGTAAATGCAAATCGAATTAGATTTAATATGCATTTTAACCACAACAAACTGTGCATATAATGTGTGCTCCTCCACCTCCTGCTACTGCTCCTGCTCCTAACAGCTCGGCTCTGATTCAATCGCAGCAACTAAAGATAAGGAGCCAAATGTCTTAGGCCGTAAACCTCAAAGTTTTCATTGAATTGCATTTAAATTTCTAAGCCTCTGAAATGCATTTAATAGTTTAATTTAATTTAAAATCAACTATTTAGCTTAATAACTGTGACTTATTAGAATAAGCTATTAAGTAGGCTCAATATAAATTAATAATTTAAGCTCTTTGGGTTTTATGCCTGTGGTGAATATTAAAATTAAGGGCTTTGGCTAAGGGAATAACTCCCATAGTTATATATATAGAAGATATACAGAAAAATAAAAATGAGATCTTAAGATAAATATTAAATTGAATTTAAATTTGTAATAGTCATATAATTTATAATAACAATATTTAATAAATATATATTAATAGTTGTGTATATATAAAAACCTACAATTCACTTTATGAAGGAATACAAATTAAAAATTGTATATATTAGTATATAAATATTATAATTGCGAAATAGACATGGTTTGACGATTTACCGAAATATTTATTTAACGACTCTCAAATCAAATTTTGAACTTAAGGGAATTTCATATTATTCGACTTTAGGGTATTCAACCTGAGGGGACCACAATGTGTGGATATTTTACGAATTAATGAGTTTACTTCAAATGGGGACAGCAGTATTTATGAATTATTGAGATTCTCAACTTAGCGGGAGACAACTTGTCGTGACTCGTTTGTAGAGGCTTATATTATATAAATACAATTCAGCTTTCATTAAACACTTCAGTTCAAAGTGGAGGCTTAAATACATATCCATATGCTACAGAGCTCAGATCAGCGCATCAGAAAATTTCCCACAAAAAAAAAAAAAAAAATTTCTGATTGCAGCGAATTTATCTGAGCTCAAGGAAAACTGCGCTGGAATTAATGAAGTAAATGCTCGACCTCAGAATGACAGCGATTTATGAAGCATCAATTGGCTGGCTGGGGCACTTTTCTGCTGCTCCTGCATCAGCTTGCTGACCCAATTAACAGCATCTTTCATTGACAATTTAAAGCTCTTGCCATTACAAAGAACACTTGCAACACCAACACACACACACACACACACACACGCACTTTCACACATACAGTGAAAGGCAATGCATAATATGGGTCATTAGCTCTGAGTGTGTTGCACGTGCAGCACTTGCCACGCCCTCTTCATTGCCATTAATTACATTTATTTCATCGATGACTTACTCGAGCTGCCAGCCGCCAAGAGGTGAGGCAACAACAAGAACAAGAAATTCTCGCTTCATTGAAGCATAATTAACTGCAAGTCTCTACAGCGACTTGCAACATTCGGTTGCACGTTGCAAGTGCAGCTGACAGCCGGAACAGCAGCAGCAGCAGCAGCAGCAGCAGCAGCAGTAGAAAAACATAGCCAATCGTAATGTAAACCAAATTCGATAATAATGTAGACCGGACAGCTAATCGGATAATGATTAAGCACATGCATAATGGCTTAGTGTGTGTGTGTGTGCGTGTGTGTTTGGGAGACCGCCCGTTGACAGCGTGAAATCAGCACGTGTATTGAGTCAAAGGCGAGCGCGTACATGGCTCATTAATCACATATCCAATTACGAGTACATTATTCCAATTCCATACTTACGCGCGCGCATAAGACAGCTGCAAAGGAGGCGGTGTGGGAGTGGCAAGTGTGAGGGTGGGGGGCTGTGGGCTGTGGGCTGTGGGCTGCGGGATGTAGTATACCCCTTTCTACTTTGAGGCGGGTTTGTTCATTAGAGACAGCGCGCTTTTAAGGCCATGCGATTTCACTGTTTACCCGCGCGCTAATTGTAAATGGCAATCAGGGCGGCGCTCTGATCCGCTCCAGAACAAGACAAAGCCAACTGTCGACTCGAGTCGAGGCGAGTCGAGTCGAGTCGAAGCGAGGCAAGTCGAGTCGAGTGGCGTTGTCTAAAGTCGCTGCCTGATTGCGCCAATTGGCAAGCGCCCGGGCACGCACGACTGACTCATACAAACTTGAAACTAAACAAGTGAGCGCGCTCTCAGCGGAAGTATATGCCTATGAGATATCCTGAGCATGTCCTCCAGTTGCTGTTTCAGCTAAAGAACTATGTTCTCTCATGAACTAACCTGCATACGTGTGAGGTAAATCCAATATTAGTAGTACAAATAAAGTGATATTAATAAGCTCAATATTTTGAAAATAATTTGAAACGGATATTAAGATTTATATTTTTATCAATATAAATTTATTAATATATTAATCCAACTCACTGCCACAGCTGTATTAAATTTAATTAATTTAAGTATAAAGTTGATGTACAGATTCGCCAGTTCATGATAAGCAATAAAAAAAAAAAAAAAAAAAAAACAAGATTAAAAAATAAATAAATAAATAAATAAAATAAAAATAGCTTTATATTGCGCGAAGCCTGAAATTTCATAATTATAAAAGAATTCTCCAATAGTTACATGATATATTACATATGTAACCCATTACTTAACCTAAGCCATACCATTTCGATATACAATATAACCTTTTGGATGACTGATTTTAAATTTGCCTACATTTAACATGTGATTAAATACATATATATAAAATCTCAAGTCTCTAATATTTATGCTTTACGAGTTCAATGAGCTCACACAGAGAGATAAACAGAACAGAACAGAACAGAACAGTTGAGTCCGTTCTTAGTAAAAAATGCTTGCATGTACTGTAGAAGTCGGCTATAACGACTTCGCTTATAGCGTCCGTGCGGTTATTGAGACAATTATGATTCCCAGGCAAACTTATACGGTTATAATGCCTTCCGGGTATAGCGACGGTATCTTGAGCATCATTATAACCAAATTCTACTGTATATGTATTTTAACATATTTTCCATACATATGCTCCATACATACATTTCAGCAAAACCCATATACCCCGCTTGGCTCAATTTCACTGGGTATAACAAGAGAAGTACTCGCATCTCAGCGCAAAGGCAGCCAACCAGGCGGGCTGGGCGGGCGAGTCGTGGCAGCTGGCAACGCACAAAGATAGGCAAGAGCTGTGCTGATGTTACGAAACGGTTAATTTAGACGGCAATGACAACGGCAACAACTCGAGCAACAACATGAACAGCAACAACAACAAACGATTTCAGCTCGAAAGCTGTCAACACAAACGGAGGCAGCTTCGCCATTTGCATAGGGGCGTGTGTGGGTCCAGGATCTGCAATTGAAATTGTCAATTGGATGGGATGGGGTGTGGGGTGTGGGGTGTGGAGTGTGGGGCTGAAAGAGTCTGGAGTAGATGGCGTGGTGCTAGGGTTAAGAGATGCCTGGTAGCTGCCAGCCGCTTTATAGCTGGCTTTTGCAACTCTGTTGCCATATAAAAAAACATTTTTTACTGTTTGCACTTGGAGCTGGAGCTGCTGGCAAATGCTTAGAATTTAATTAGCCACGCCATCCGATTATGGTCCATTCCAGGCAGCGAGCATGAAATTACTTTTACCTCTTGGCCAAATATAACGCAATAAGATATATGCCACATAGATATATACATATATAAATATCTACACGTATATAAACTGCGTGACATGACACAGCTCTTAGTAGCTCAGCTCGAGGGCGAAACTTGGAGGTGGCAAACACTTAACTTGATTATAGCAGGAGTTTCGATATCTTAAATTAAATATTGATTTCTTGTTTTAGTTCTAATTCTCAATTAGTGTGCGTTTATTTAGTTTACTATAGTTTTGGTCATAGACTTAACTTGGATTTTGGGTGATTTATCCAGAGAGATAAATCAGATAGATACAGATCTTCTCAAGAGCAATAATTGAAGTATATATTTATCTAATTTTTTTTTATTGATGACTTTGATATTTCTTAATAAATAAGTAAAGTTATAGATAACCCTTTTTTTTTTAACAAGCATGTCCGATCTGGATGTACTCGGAACTAAGAACGGCAGATGAGTCCTTGCAGCCCCAGCGACAGAATAAGTAAGAGACGAGCAACTCGGCAATAGGACAAAACTAATTAATAAACTGATCCTAATTTATCTGTTCTGTGATTTTAGATCATTTATATATCAATTTTCATTTCGAAGAGTAAAATCTTCGACCGGCTTTTATAGCTATCTTTACCTATATGAGCAATAATAAATATTTGCAACTTATAATAATTAAAGAATGTTAAACAAAATTTGGTTTATACCCAAAAAAAACTGGATGCGCATTGATGAGCTATTGCATGACGAACGATCATTAGCTCAAGTTGCAAACGAGTTCCCATCAAATATCTGATTAGTCTAACTTAACGTATTTATTCCAAATATGTTACATATATTTTTAGAGCTTTTTTATGACGCAGAGACTGGTTTATATAGTAAACGAGAAGAGAGTTATTGACGCTAGGCTGTAGTGACTCATAGTCTAATTATTCAATAATCCAATGTATTTAAATAATTTACAAACATGAATAAACATATTTGCTGACAAATCTAATGTATCAGTAACAAGATAACCAAGCATATTAGAATACATTCATATATCTATACTATGCATACTATGTCTTGCTTAGGCGGATCGTGCTGTCACCTTTCCTTCTGACTTCGTCATCGTCTACGTTTCAGTCATTGTTGTTGTTGTTGCTGTTGTTGTTGTTCTGCGGTGAATGGGATTGCGATTTCGCTTAGCGTTGACACAAAACAATGGCCAACACTTCAGCACTTTCATTTTTCAGTTTGAAACACACACACACACACACACACACAGACGTATAGAAGAACGCGCACTTTTAGCAGATTTTTTATTTATTTTCGTGTTGACAGCTCAACACACACACATACACACACACGGACCAACAAACACACACATACACAGGGAGCGAGAAGCTGTGGCAAACAATTTGCAACGTCGCACTCAACATGAAGTGTTGCGGTTTTTTACTCTTTGTTGTTGTTGTGTGTGGCATGTTTTATATTTTTAGAAATTGTTTTTAGTTGCATGAGTCGCTTTTGTGTTTGGAACAAATATGGCAGCAGCAGCTGGAGTCAACTGGACGCTGCAGACGTAGGCGTGGCTGGCGTTGATGACAGATAAGACACATATTGTGAAAACTTTTCAAGCATGCACACACACACACACACACATGCAGGCACACATACGGCACAGCTGCTGCTTCATGCAATTAAATAACACAGACTCGCTCCCTCTCTGTCTATCTCCCTCCCTTTCTCTGCTTTAACGAACAGCTCAAAAGTATGCAACACTTTTTGATACGTCTTTATTAATTGGGCCAGCACACAGCCACCCACACCACACACACATACACACACACACACACACATTCACAGAAATTTAATTAAAAATAGCATCTAACCAGTTGTCGCCTTGAGCGCCGCAGCGCTCAGCAACGGCTTCGTATTGCAGCAGCCACAGGGCGTATTCGGCGGCGCCAACGGGTCGCAGCACAGTTCACACTGCTCCTGGCCCAACGTCGTGTTTTGCGCTTGAGGTGAGCTAATTAAAAAAATGCATTTCAACAGCAAATCAATAATAATAATAATGAAAAGCGCAAAAACAAAACGGTAAAGTAAATGCTATTATGCTTGATAGCTGTTTGCTTACGTAGGCTGAAAACTGTTGGCCAAACTTCCAATTGGCGCCGGTGCTGCTGTTGCTGTTGTTGTTGCTGCTGCTGCTGCTGCTGCAAGCGGCGCCAATGCGATTTTTGGCGATGCTTCTAAATATGTTGTGTATGATTGTTGTTGCAACTGAATTGGCAGCTGAGTGAATGGTTGTTGTTGTTGCTGTTGTTGCTGCTGCGGCAGAGATGTCGATTGTAGCTGCTGCTGCTGCTGCTGCTGTTGCTGTTGCTGGCGTACATTGACGCCATTGTAGCCTTGCAATATTTGAGGTTGTTGACTTGGCAGCTCCACAAAAAAGTGCTGCTGTTGCTGCTGCTGCCCCCGCGACTCCTGCTGCTGCTCCTGCTGCTGCCCCCGCTGCTTGTGCTCTGTCTGCCAATTTGGCATAGTTTGCTTCAACAATTGCTGGAAGAACGGCGCCAGCTCTTCGCTATCCCTGACTTCTTGCAGCGCCGTTGCCTTAATAATTTGTGTTGGCGCACGTTGAGCGGCCGCACGATTTGGCAACTGTGCGGCGCCAGCTCCAGCCCCTCCTGTCACATTATAGATTGTCGGCGCTAAGCTGCAAGTAAATGGCTGCTCAATAGCTTGACCCCTTTCCAGCACTTAAGCCCATAGGCGACCTACTTTCTGGCCGTCAACGTCGACGGCTGTTCAAACAGTTGCTGAGCGCCAATTGTGCTCAGGCAGCAGAGCACAGCAGAGCTCAGCAGCCATGTGTGCGAATTGAAACACATTCTGAGTACCAAGAATGATCTATACAGAACCGGCCTCTACCAAGCACCGACACACACTGACACCGGGCCAAGCGAGTCATACAGTTATGTAGAAACCTGATGGGGCAGCACTAACTAGTTGTTCGCCACAAATCGGGCTTTGTTTTGTTAGTTCTCCATAATCACATACATATTTTCGGCATTTGATTTTAGTACTTCTTTTGTTTGTTTATTTGGACATTAATTTGTATACATAATTATTGACTCTCATAAATATGCATACAATTATTATAAAGTGCGAACAAACTGATTTGCATAAATTTGCGGTGAGGTCTGTATTACAGCAACAGAAATGCTCGAAAGCCTGATTAAATTCACATAAATTAAATGGCTTATTATTGTTAATAGGTAAATATTTAAATACCTTAAATCTTGAACGCTTCTGCATTGTTTAGTCTATTCAATTATTGCGAGTGTTTGGCAAACAGCCGCGCTCAGCTAGCCATTATGTCTGTAGACATCATTAAACAGAATTTGTTTACGCAAATTTTTTGACTTTTATATACCATGTAAATAAATAGGTAATGTAATAAATAGGTGGACAAAAATTGAGCATTTTACTTAAACATTTAAGATATATGAAAATTATAATAAGCTGTCAGAAGAAGGCGTGTCCATATAAACCATATAAAGTGAAAGTGTTAATAATACCTCGAACAATGCCATAGAACTTAAGATTAGATTAATGAAAGCCTCAGAGTCTCTATTGACAGGTTCAGGCTCTGTAGAGTCCAATTGGCCACACCTCTCTTGTCTCCCCTCTCTCATTCAACTTTAGCCTATTGAGGCTCATGCTCGATTTTATAATATCACATTTCCATTGAATCAACGTCAAACTGTCTAAAGCACTCACAGGTTAATAGAGTTCCTCAAGTCTTATCCTTTGATGCCCTGGTCATGCGCTTCAGCATACAGCGTCAATCTGTTAAAATGGCAATTGCTGTTGGCCATCTTTCACACATAGATAACGCAGCTCTTAGTCGCTCTAATTCGTGTCTGTGTGTGCGTGTCAAATGTTTTTCCATTAAATTACATGCATAGCCTGTCTGCCACAAGCATAGAGCAGCTCACAGCTCAGCCCACAACTGGGTCGACCACCAAAGTCATGAAATTTAGTGTTGGCGGCATAATTAGACCATCAATTGCGGAAAACTCATGACAGTCATGAATGGGCGTTTGTGTGAGGCGTCTAACCACAGAGTTACAGGCCCAACACACTCACACACACTCACACTCACTCGGATAGCAATGGCGAATAAAGTAATATAGCCCAAAAGCATAAACTCATCAGCGTCGGAAAGGCTGACAACGAATGCGAGCAGCAACAACAACAAGAGAAGTTGGCCAAAAAGCTGTTGTCGCTGGCCATCACTTTTGGCCGACTGTTGCTTACAGCTATAATGTTGGGATAATGACAGCAGCAGCAACAGCAACAATTGAGGCACGCACAACTCGAAAATACCCAGTAATCTGAGTAGGAATAGAGAGAAAGAGAGAGAGAAAGATAGGCAGGCAAAGAGTTAGACCGCAAGACAATGAAAACAAGAGAGAAAGACATATAATATGACTCATCCAGTTAGAAATGGATTTAGCAAGACTATAAATACTTCTGAGAATATAGCTAAGCATCAATAGGCTGAAGAGCGAGAGAGAGAGAGAGAGAGAGGAAAAAAAGTAAATAAGCCGGAAGACAAGGCAAGACCCTGAAGACAATAGAGAAAGACAAGCTATATGACTCATCCAGTTAGAAATGGGTTTAACAAGACTATATCTAAATACTTCTAAGAATTTGGCTAAGCATCGACAGGGTGAAGAACGAGAAAGATAGAGAGAAAGAAATACCCAAGAGCAGACTGATATTATTGTATATATACTTTTCTAAATCTAGTTTTTCAAGTCATTCGTATTATTCGAAAAAAATAAGGCAAAAAAGTCGCTTTGGCTAATGAATCTTAATAAGAATATTTATACTTTTAAGATTCTAAATCAAAGTGTGGCAGATCAATGGGAAGTCCACAAACAACTAAGCAGGCAGTTAGAGTGAGACAACAGATATGCGGCAAAGCAGACAGAGGAAAAAGGAAAGAAGCATGCCTCTAATAAGATCAAAGTGCAAAGATAAGCAGAGAAATAATAAACAGGCAATTAGACAGAAACAGAGATAAGAAGAGAGAGAGAGAGAGAAAGAGAGAGAGAGAGAGAAAGAGAGAGAGAGACAGATGCCACCATAGAAACAGACAGTTAAAGAGACAAGCCCGATAAACTAGGCTTATATAGACTATATACTGTCTTAAGATGTGAGATTTTAAGATCTCTAAGATATAGACAGAATTAAGATCTCTAAGATATAGACAGAAAAAGCCATAAATAGGTAATGCGGAGGGCAGATAGACAGATGGATAGATAGTCAGGTCAGATAGATAGATAGATAGATAAACAACTAGACAGATATTTTATATATTTTTTAATTTTTTCTTTAGCTTTATTTGATCATAATAATCATATAAAGCTTATGCATATGGATCAGACAGATCACGCAGGCACGGTAGATAGATTCAACTCGACTTCTCATAATGTCACATAAGCTTACCCAAACCCAAATACCCATTCGAGAGCATTTGCAATGGGTAGATCGTATAACAAGTGCAAGCCGAAATGCAAAGCACAAATGCTACTTTTGTCGCTCATAAATATTCACTTGAATATATTCAGCGCATTGTTGTTGTTGTTGTTGCTGCTGTTGTTGTTGTTGCTGCTGTTGTTGTTGCTGCTGAGTGTTGGTTAGCCTGGCTAGCTGGCCGACTGACTGCATGGCTGGCTGGTTGGCCGTCTGGTTGGCTGACTGTTTGGCTTTGTGTTCGCTTTCATTTTCAGTTTTTGGCCAAAAGGCGCAAAAGTGTGAAAATGTTGACCATTTTTGTGACTATTTTTCGGTGACTGGCAGCGGACTGTGAAAGTTGAGCACATAAATTCTATGGAAATTTTGTGACTCTGGAGCCAAAAAGGAGCGAAATTAAAAGCACATTGCCCCGCAGCCACAGCCAAACACCGAGCAGCGAACACCGAGCAGCGAACAGTGAACACCCAAAAACACTTACAAATACGTCGTATGTGAAGTGCTCTTTTTAGTTAAATTACACGCTCTAATCCACAAGTTTGCGAGTGGAGAGCCCGTCCAACCTGGCAGACAAAATGAAAGAGAACCTAAAAACAAACCAAAGAGAAGCGACTAAAGTAGAAAACATAAAAGGCGACATTTCGTAAAGGCGCCAAGGGCCACCAAACCACAGAGAGCCAACAGCAGACAGCGCCAAAGCTAAACACAGCAGCAGCAACAACAACAACAACCACCGAAGGCAGCTGAAAAGTATGCAAGGCATAATAATTCATGCTGATGGAATTGTATGCATGAATATAAGGAAGGTTGAGAAAATGCGGATTGGGAGCGGGTAAAGTGTTGCGTCTGCCCTCAGCGGCTGAAAATCATATGCATCACGTGATTAAACGCGTCATGCATGAAAATGTAAAATATTGCGCTCCTGTAAGCTAGCAAGCGCGCGCGAGAGAGAGAGAGAGACAGAAAGAGAGAGGGACAGCGAAAGCGAGATGAATCGAGACAGAGTTAACGGCTCATGGAGTCAACGACTGGCCAGAGAGAGTCCGTGAAAGTAAGAGAGAGATAGATAGCTAGAGAGAGCAGCCAAAAATAAAAGTAAAATAAAATAAAAAACAGAGTTGAATAGTAAAAAAAAAAATTAGACATCGCACGTCATGTTTACTTGACTTGACTGGCAAAGCCTGCAAAGCAGCAACAAAAACAACAAACAAAAACAAAAACAACAACAATGTGGCAGGAGCAAGCAAAACGCCTGCGTTACAAATTTCTCACAATTTTTTCTCATTTAAATGGAGAAATTGTGCGCTGACTGGCACTGACTGAGATGAATCTGGGCAGCACGTGCTGAGATGCCAGCCCTGCCCTGAACTTGGCCAAAAGGCAGGCGAAAGTAGTGGGGGAGTGGCAGGCAAATGCACGCCATCTCTGTGCAGCTCTTTGTGGCTTATGTGCAACAAAACAAAACACTAACACAGCGCAAATAGTTAATTTAAAAATATGCATGAAATAAATGGCTTCCGCTGAAGGTCACTGAGGGCAAATTGCAGTGAGAGAAACTAAGTGAATGTTCGCCCATTAACTGTATTCCATATGTACTATATATGTATGTATATGTTTATAATGTAAATGGCGAATAGAAATATATTACTTGTATTATTAAAAATATTGAAATCTATTTTTAGAATTTTATTTAAATTCTAATTTTTCATAAGAGCTGCGTACTATAAGAACTAGCTATAATGTGATATTAGGATATAAATTGTATATAATAAAAAAAAATTAAAAAAAAATAAAATAAAATTAAATTCTAAATATTAGAATATAGAAAATGATCACAACATTTATGTATATTTATGTATGCTTTCTGAAATTGTATATTTTATTATTATATATAATTATTTTTATATAATATATTTTTATATTTTATTTGTATATAATTTATATATTTTTCATATATAATATAATTATATATTTATTATTTGATATAACATTTTTTTTATATTAAATTGCATTATCTATTATTTCATAATAATTTTTATTCACATAAAATTTAATAAATAGATGTATAAAATTTGTATATTTCATATAAACTTTTTTGTTAAATATAAAAATATATTTTTTATATATTCTATTTAATATTATATTGCAATATCTAATATAATTTCCTTTAAGAATTTATTGAAAGCAGTTAAATTTATATTACTTATTCAACTAAGCCCAGCTAAAGTGGGAAAATTCAACTTTAATACGCATACGCCGCATTAGCCAGCTACTTATTTTAACAACTGCTCTCCCTCTCCAGCATAAATGCTTAAAGAATTACATACATATAAGTGTATGTGTGTGCGATGTCATGGTTGGCCAAAAACTTTTAGTATACTTTGTGCAAATTTATTACTGCATTTTGTATATATCAT